TGACATTGTAAAAACTTCTCTGTATTGTTAAAATGAAAAACAGTGCTGTAGATGAAACAGTTCAGAAACTACTCAGACCCCTTCACCTTCTGCACTGGCGACTTAATTTACATTTTTAATTGTCATTTTGCCCATTTTACACTCAATGCATAAAGCCAAAGTGAAACATGTATTTATCCATTTAAAACCTCTCAATTCCCCAAGTATGTTCCTAGTAGTAGTAGTAATGTTCACCAAGACCCAATGGTCACTAACAGAGCTTCAGAAGTCTCCTGCAGAGATGGATGACCATCTCAGCACCACAACACTGAGCAGGACTTAGCTGAAACCCTAAAGAACATCTGTGGAGACCTGAAGATGGTGGTTCACAGACACTTCCATCCAATCTGAGAGAGTTTGAGAGGATCTGAAAGGAAATATGGGATAAACTGCCCAGATCTAGATGTGCAAAGGTCGTAGCCAATTGGTGACAAAATGGGCTTTTACAAAGTACTGAATTAAGGGTTTAAATACATTTGTAAAAGATGGGTTTCAGAATTTGACTTTTAATTTTTAAAAGATTCTAAAAAACATTTTCACCTTGTCATGGGCTTTTGACTGTAGGCCGATAAGAATAATGGCCATTTGATCCATTTAAAACTAAATCTACAGTCAAAAACCTTGTGAAACCTCTAAACATCTGCCTCGATGCCACATGAACCTCAAAGCACAAGACTAAGTTAATGCTTGGGTCCCTGTTCCACCTGATCAGTTTAGAAAAGTTAGAACCCAAAGAATGAGGCCTGCAATCAGATCTGGATGAAATTCATCAGGATACAAAAGTTTAAAAACTGTAATAACTGATATGAAAATGTGCTCATCTGACACACTGTGCTTGAGAAGTAAACTGTAGAAATGAGCCTCCAACTGAACCGATCGATCAGACTCTAGTGCAGAAAACGAGGGAGTACAACTCCTGCTACTTGGGAAAGAAAAACTTTGATTAAAACTTTAAAGTACAGGCCTTCATGTTCAAATCACTAACTCAAATACAAATCTAGACAACACAGAGGCAGACTTTTCCCCTTCCAAATAAAAGTAGCAGTACAAAAAAAACAAACCAAACCCAGATTAGGACTTAAATAAAAAGATATATATAAACAACAACACACAATTTTAACAAAGGACTGCTTTCTTACCAGTACTCTGGTACATTTTCAACTAATTCTGCAACATTTGAAGCCATTTTCTCACATAAAGCAAAATATTTCATGTTCATGTGACATTAAACGATGTCTTTATCCAGACTAGAGTACAATAAGTCTGACCACTCCATGTTCTAAAAGCACAAACAGCATTTTGCTGAGTCGGTTTTAAACATCCCTGATGGATGACAAACATGAAAGCACGTAATTTGTTAGTCCAGCACTGCAACACACACTGTTATAATAATACTGAGTGGTACACCAAACAGTTCTAAGACCCCACAATAATCAAGTAGCTGACAAACCGCTTATGTTGTTCCAAGCAACACAATGTACTGCGAGACCAAGCTTCAACCCAGAGACACAGCGGACATGTAGTGGCAAAAACACAGAAACAAGATAAATAATGAATGTGAACATAATTAGTGATGCTTGTTACTGGAGGGAAGTGTGTGTCTGTTATATTTCTAAACACCTGTCCTGCAGGGTTTTCTGAGGTCTGACACTGAGGGAAGGAGACCAGCCACCTAACTCTTATAGTCAATGAGTACATTCACAATTTTTCTTTACTGCTACATTCATATATCAAGAGAAAAGAACCTACAAAAAATTGCTGGTTTCTTATCAAAATTGCTGGTAGAAAAGACAAACCACAAGCCAACCACAGCTAAAACTGTCTTGCCCTTTGGCTGGTGAATAGTGTTGCGTCTCACCCTGACTAACATGCCAGCCCATTAGTCAGACATGAGAGGAGAAAAGAGAAAGACCACAAAACACACTACATTTAAAGACCAAACATGATGATGGTGGGTGACGCTTACGCCGGTGAACACAAATCAACGTGTGCAGTGACACACAGTGTAAAACGACGTACATTACACAGCTACCACAGATGTTTGGTCAGTCGTAAAATCTAGAATTAAACCAGTCACCACTAAGCAGTACACACATGGTTGATCTAGGTATCAGGGAAAGATATAAAACCGTGCAAGATACCAGCAAACTTTTCCAGCTAGAAGAAGATTAATCTCACTGAGGCATCAGGAGCAACCTCCAATAACTAGAAAATCAAGTGTATCATAA